TATATACACACACACACTCATACATACACACATACACATAAATACATACACATACACACACTGTGTGTTGTTCGTCCTTAGGGTATGAAGATGACCATGACTTCACAAATTGGTCTGTTGACGGTGACTATGGGTCCTGAGATGAGGTACACACACATAAACACACACACACACACACATGCACACACACACACATAAGTACACACACACGCACACATAAACACACCAACACACACACACACATTCACATCATGATATAAAGGCCAAACTAAGACAACAGTGACAAGACAACAGTGGGCTAGAAAATCAATAGCACATACCAGCAGGGAGGAGGGTGGTTGGTGGGTGCTCTGGCGTGATTTGCTCCTTTTATCCTTATCTGCTTATCAACCATCAATCGTCCTTTAATGTTACATAACTCTTTCTTTTTCTTCTGCGTATGTCTGTCCCCGTTGTTTTATGCACCCCGCATAATTTAGCAAAATGTGATAATTTTTTGCATAATTTCTGATTATTTTCCTTATCATTCTTTGTTGTTGAAATAAAAAGAATCGCATACTTTCACATTTTGGGGCTCAGTTTGCATAATTTCAGAATTTGTCTTGCATAAAACAACGGGGGCAGGTATGTTACTTAACCACTTATATCCAGCAAAACCTCTAATTCTCGCGTCACGTGTATTCCCTCTTTGTATCGCAAGTGCCGTAAAACTGTAATTAAATTAAAAACCAGCAGGGGTGTAGTGTACTGATGTCACAGCCTTTGTACCTCCCTATCTACTCTATCTCTCTCTCCATCATTCTCTTTCTCCGCCCGTGAGTGGTTGGAGGGCACGACTGGTAGATACCTCTTCTTTTTTTTCTTTCTTTCTGTCTTCTTCTCTTCTTTTCTTGTCTTCCCCTCTTTTGTTTATATCCGTCTGTCTTTCTTTCTCTCTCTTTTTTCTTTCTTCTTCTTTTCTTGTGTCTCCTTCTTTTGTCTTTTGTCTTTTTTTTTCTCCGTCTTTTGTTTCAGTCATGTTTCCTTTTAGAGATATTCCGGCTGATATGATATCCATCTACTGTTTCATTTCTTAATCTATCACTGTCTGGCATCTTTTTCATCAATTAAGACTAATGAAAAAACGAGAGCGACAAATATACACAAAGTTCATCTATGTTTTTGTTTGTTTTGTTTGAGGAAAGAGGCGCACATCAACACAATAACGGTCATTTTTAGTTTTAGTAAGTGTTTTACGGCACTTGCGACATGATATGGTCATACAAGTGTCGAAGATTAGAGGTGTTACAAGAGAATAACAAACACAAAAAAGAAGGAGGGGAGATAAAGACGATAGATGTTTGATAGGAAAGGAGGAGCAAACCACACTAGAGCAACCCCCCCCCCTC